TAAATATATATATAGATCTAGATAAGTTAGTATAAGTAGTAACTTATAATATAGATTTAAAGTTTATATATAGGGAAAGTAAAAATATATAAAGTAAGAAGTATAGGTAATTATTTCTATACTATATTCTTTATTCTTACTTCCTTAGTATTTATTTAATAAGTTAGAAATAGAGAAATATAGATAAAATAAGACCTCTAGGGTATTTAAGGGCAGTATACATTAAAAGCATATAGTATAAGTAATTCATATTAGGTAAGCAGGTCTTACCTTATAATTACTTACTAACTCTATAGTAGATATAGCAAACAGCTAGTATAGTAGCTATAAGATTCTCCTACCTATTATACTTAGGCCCTTACAAATTTTCTATCTATAAAATACTAATCCTCCTAAGCTATCTTATTATCTACCCTTATTAGTATTACTAATATAAAATAGAAGTAGCTATTATCTATTTATTACTACTAAAGAAGAGCTAAAAGGTAGATCTAAACTACTTTAACCCTACCTAGGTATTTACTATTATATTTAATAGCTATAAATATTAAAGTAGGTAGTAGTATTATCTATTTATCTTAGAATAGTAAATACCTATATATCCCTTAAATTAGTATATTTATCTACCTAGCTTATTATCCTTTACCTTTCTTTATTATATTAAGATTAGTAATATAGATATATAATACCCCCCTAAATATATTATATAAGACTATCTACCTCTCTATAAGTAATACTAGGTTTATATATACTAATACTTTAATATTATATTAGTATTAAAGGCCTAGTTAAGTTAGGCTAACTATATAGATATACTATCTAGAGAAGTAGTAATATATATATTAAGTATAATTCTAGTTACTAATATAGAATCTAGGTGCTAATTATTATCCTATTATTACTTACTATAGCTTAGGTTAAATAGCTAATAACTATAGACTATTAAATCAAGTAGTAAGATAATAGAAGTATTTAATACCTATAAAGTAATATTATTAAGGATTATATCCTACTAAAACCTATTTAAGGTACCTATATTAGTACTATACTATATATTCTTTAATATATAATAAGATAAAACCACTACCTCCTACTAAGTATAACTAGGTTAGTTAAATATTCTATATCTATCCTATATTATTATCCTTACCTTAAAAATATATCTAAAGACTAAAAGAAGGGATCTAAATATAAGATATATCTTATCTAATATTTACTATAGATTTTCTATAGATAACTTAAAGCTACTTAGCTAAATACTACTATATTAATAAATATATATCTAATATAGTTAATAAACCTCTACTTATATTAATAAGTAAGTAATATAAAAAGGTAAGTTAGATAATCCTATTAATAAGAATAAAATTAGCTCTAACTATTATAATAATAAGGAGGATAAAAAGTATAAGAATATATAAATTAACTAAGGTATCTAGGTACTTATTAAATTAAATACACTAAGCCTAATACTTATTATTAATTATAGCTATTTAGTAAGTTAAAGTTTACTTTCCCTTTATAATATTAATTTATAGTTATCTAGGTTTAATATATTTAAGGCTTTTTAATCTTACTTACCTTTATAATATATAGTCTTAGACTAGCTCCTAATATAGAATATATATAGTAAAGTATTATCTTACTAGGTGTTTTTAAGTAGTTAGACCTTAATATTTAAAAGTATATAGTAGTATCTAATATTAGAGAAGAGCTACTAGACCTAGACTAAGCACTTACTATACACTCTCTATACTTCTACTACTTACTAATCTCTTTCTAGGTTTACTACTCCCTTTATTATTACTTATCCTATACTACTTGCTCTTATCCCTATCCTTATCTATCCCTATCCCTCTAAGTCTTTTACTTACCTCCCTATACTTCTACTTTATTACTCTTATCCCCTTAACTTCTTCTAGCTTACTACTAGGTTTATACTTACTTTCTTCTCCTATTATAAGGTCCCCTAAGTTAGATAGAGAAATAAACTAACTAATATTATTTACTAGGCTTACCTTAGTTTACTTATTATATTTTTATACTACTTTAGTAAGATATAAATATTAAATATTTTAAATACTAAAGAATTAATTATAAGATAAATAAAACTACCTTATATTAGTAAGAAGTCTACCTTTACTATAGGTATTACCTTTCTTTCTCTTTATACCTTCTAAGCTACTAATATTTTAATAGGTCCTATAATAAATAGAGTTTTTACTATTCCCTACTATCTATATATATATATAATCTATATATAGGTTTTATAATAAAAAATAAAGCCTAATAATATTAATAGCTACTACTAAAACTAAGCTCTTTACTATCTTTTTAACCTCTCTAGTTAAGGTATAATAAGTAAAGCTAATAAAGTAATAATAAAATAGGTTAGTAGGTAGATTATATTATAGAAATAACTATATAAGAGGATAAGAATAGAAATATATATATTATATTAAATAGAGTAGTATATAGTAATTTAATATTTTTAATAGAAGCTAGTCTTATAAATCTATAATAACTTTCTTCTATAATACCTAATATAAAGAATATAGATCTTAGCTTATATAGTATACTTAAAATAATATATACTCTATATTATATATATATACTAAAAGAAATACCTATATCCTAATATACTAGGTTCTAATATAGCTATAATTTAAATATACCCTCTATATTAGTAAGGTTAAGAGTCTAAGTACTTTAGAACTAATATACTCTATTTTTAATATAACTAAATCTTAATATAGCTTAATCTATAATATACTTTATTATTCTACTATTTCTATTCTACTATATTTTATAATTTTATAAAATACTTTAAAAAAAAGGAGTATCTTTCCTATATTTTATAATATTTTTTTTTAATATAAAATTCACCTATATTACAATACCCTAGCCTATATAGTATAATTTCCTTTTCAATATGTGGACCAACCCATGTCAGAAAACACCCCCCACTCGCGTAGGTACAGAGAGAGGTACCGCATGTAGTAAGGCCGAAAAAAAAACATGCTGTTGTCATTGCCGTGATTGGCTGATGGAGTACAAAGCGCCCTCTTTTCTTCCTGAATCATACTAGTATTAAAAAAAGAAATAAAAAAAAGAGTAAATCATCATCAACCAGAGTTGGCTCCGACGCGTTCAAGTGGCTTTTTTGCTCTCTCTCACCAACAAGGGGTACGTATGTGTGTGTGTGTGCTTCGGAGCTCGGGTACCTGTGGCTTCGCCAGGGGGAGGCTGGGCTAGTTAGGCTTCTTGTTCTAAAAAGCGCTGACTGGTTCCACGTTGCAAGTTTCTGCGGGGCCGATTCTGCAGAGAAAGCTTTTTTTTTTTTTTGGGTGCCAAAAAGTGGTTTATTTTTGGGTTTTGAACAATTGGATGGCAAGGGAAGGATTCAGCGTTTGACCGCTACACGTTATTATTATTAGCTCCCCTGTTGTTAGAAGCACCGCCTGGTACTCTGTCGTAATAATAGTTTACACGAGAAGGAACAATCTTGTCAGTGGTCGGGGGGGTGATTTTTCTATTTATATATTTTCAAGCAAATTGGACGACGACAATACGAAAGCAGGCATCTGCAAATTACAAAAAGTACATTGCTGGTAAAACGCGGACATGGTGTGTCATCATGTACACAGGCTGCGCCGCCAACACAGTGCGGCGCATACAGTTCACACACGGGTTCTGCCAACGAGCGCATCGCACAACGGGCGACAAGGCAGCTTGGCAGCCTCTCCGTCCCGAAAGAAGAAAGAAACCGATGCATGGGACAAGAAACCCAACCACGTTTACTAATATGCTGATCACCGCATTCTAGACCACGACCGACAGGTGGAGCGCTCCATGACACGCTCGACTTTCTCCGAGGCTGGGGGTCTGTGTGTTTTGCCAACGTTGCTCCCTGGCACAGGCGTTGTGGCCGGCGAGCCGCCCAGTATTATGGTGGGTACAGGACAAGGTACTTGCAGATCAACAGAAAAGCACGCGACTTGGCTGACTAGGCAAGGTACCTATCGGCGAGTAATATGCTTCATAATGCCCTCCTCATTGTTTGTGCTCTGCTTTGCCGTAAGGATGCGGTCCACGGTTTTGCTTGCCAGGAAAAAACAGAGAAAAGTCCATGGTCGCTCTTTTCTTGAGCCTGATGTTCAACATCCGCTGTCAAAGACATGGTGCTCGATCCGAATCTCGGATCCCTGCTCGCCCAATCCTTGTCTGACACGCAACACGGGCCTTGACACACGTGCAACGGGTCCGCTTTTAACAAGAAACGAAACCAGACGATTTGTCCACAAGACACCCCCCCCCTGAACGCGAACCGTGTTGCTGCCTCTCCGGTGGCCGGCCCCGACAAGTCAAGACGCGCCGGCCGGCCGGCCGTACATATGTCAACTTCTCCACGATCATCTTGTCGCGCACAGTCCGGCGGTGTGTGATCGATGGGGGGGCGCAGAGGCTCGAGGATATGTATCATAGCGGCTCGCCAACCGTTCTGCGGCGACGCCCGAGTCAGCTAGCTCCAGGCACCCGGGTTTGCCGCATTCCATCCTGGCCGATTCTGTTTTTTTGAAACATTCACGGCGCTACTGTTTTCCACACTGCAGATGTGGGCATCCGGCCACAACCCTGTCCAAGTGTTGGTGATATTCTAGTCATACCAATCTGCCTGGTATTTGTGTGTATAGCTAGGTCCATCATGGTATGACGTGACGTGGACAGCACTCGCCGGCTCCCTCCCGCGAACCACGACGCGCTTCTTTAACAAAATGGTCGCATAGCTAGGCCGTGACAGTAAGAGGAGCCAGCTCAAAGGCAGTAAGTATATCGGTGCACATTCAGGTCCCCAACCCCGTATCCCAGCATGTATTGGCATAAAATGTAGCTGCACCAGCGAATCCAAGTCGTATGAAACTTCTCTCGTCTACCGCCACCTACCTATCTTACACAGTACAGCATGGTGAATGGCTTGTTACACGTCGCTAAGTCCAACTTTACATGCCCGCCTTCCCCTTGTTCCCATTCCCGTTCACGTCTACATCGTTTTTGGCCGGAGGCTCGGGCCCGTCTTCTTCGCTGGACGCCGTCTTTTCATCTTTGGTGACAATATTCTTCTCCACCTTCTTGTCCTCGTCCTTGCCGTCGTCAGCCTTATCTTGCTTGGCCTTGTCCTCTAGCTTCGTATCTTGTCTTGGCGCTTCGGGAGCTTCTTCAGGCGCAATCTCTTTGCTCTTGACGATATTCGTCAAGTACTCACCAACATCGCCGAATTCGTCAAGGCCGCCAAGAGTGCTCTTGAACAACTCGACATCTCGAAGCATGCTGTAAAAGTCTCAGTAAAAAAATAGCCGGTATGAGCAAGAGTTTGAAAGACCTTTGTTGTCCTGCCTTATTCTTCGCCTCTGCATCCCGAAATGCCGAGCCCAGCACCTCCTTGTAGCCGCTGAAAACAGGCACCATGATGGCCTGAATGACATTCTCCGGTAGGTGTTTCGTAAGCACCTTATGTAGAGTTACTGTCTCCCTGACAAGCGTTTCCATATACGCATGTGCACTAGCGCCCTCGTCGTCTTTGTGCCACTGAATCGTCTTCATGCCCTTGGAGTGCAGAATGGCACGCCCGTTCATAATCTCGACTAGTTTTTGATGAATGTTGCTTTGATGTTCTTGCAGGAGTCGACGGATCTTGTCGAACTCCCCCATAAGCACCGACGTCCCTGCGCTGGTCCCCGCGTGCCGTCGGACGAACTCGCGAATGTGTGGCATCAGCGTGGCCATCAGTGACAAGGCCTGCGATGCGAGGGATAGATGCTTCGTCGTGATGTTTCTGAGTCCTGCTGTTTTCGTAGCGCCCGCCCCCAGAATGAGCTGTGTGCATCGGGAGTTAAAGAGCTGCAGGTAGGCGATCAAAGACGCTGCAATATCTGTAGTCATAGAAGGAATGCCCGCAATCAAGTGCAGGAAGTGCTCTACCCCTTGTATGCATAAAATGGCCGAATTGGGAAGAATAAACTTCTCTGATTCGATAACCGCCGGTCGAGCCCTTTCTCTTTCGCCGCTGCTCTTTTCCTTTTCTTTTTCGGCTGATTCCTCTTCCAGCTTCAGTCGGAGGAGCTCAATGGCCGGCACCCACAGCTTGTTACCGTTGCCCCATGACTCGGCATCGTGCGTGCTGCACTCCAAAATCTCCCCGAGCTGTCTAGTAAGTTTCTCGTTAAAGTCCTTGGCAACCCATCTGTCCGCTTCCATGCCTTGCGCCAGAGTTTGCATTGCGGCATTCTGGTGCCTCTGAACAAACTCCTTGATGTGGCTGTTGACGACGTTCTTCAGTGGCGTACCACTCCGTCCAGAAATAGCTTCACATTCATTTGCAAAGTACAAGTTCAGAGTGAAGTAGCGGAGGAACATGTCTAACGAGAGACCTGTTGCCTGCTCCGTCCGAACCTTGAGAACCTTGACAATCTTGTCATTGGCAATGTCGACGCCTTGGGCTAACAGATTCGTCACATCCAAGGCTCGGTGCATCTCCTCTTGAATCTCAAGTCCAGGAAACGGTGCCTTGACCGGTCGAGGGCTGCCCAAAGGTGATCGAACAGTGGGAGACTTGATGCCGTCTCCTTCCGTCGTGTCGGCGAGAGAGGATGCGATATCCAGGAGCACCTTTACTTGCGTGGACAGTCTTCTAAGCGTCTCCGTGACGCCAACGTACATCTTCTTTAGCAAATCCTCCGCGTCTTCGGGTTCTAGCGCGCGCAGATTGCGGGCTAAGTTGGCCGACTTCTCCTGACTCGATAGATGTCTTCCGCCACCTGCTGTTGAAACGGACATAAGCGACATGTTATCATCTTCGCTTGAGCTTGGTAAAGGCCGTCGGATGAGATTTCGAATTTCCTTGAGTGCCGCCTCCTTGTATGCCAATGCTGCTGTGCTGACATGCCTCGCCCGAGACAGTCCAGCCATCACAGGATGCAGCTGTGCTTTCAAATCCTCTGTTGCCGTCAGATAAGTAGGGAATATGGAAGGTGAGCGAGAATGCCCCCCTCTCGTTCGTGAAGCAGCATTATCCCATCGCAAAAGTACATCAGCATTCGATACTGATTCAACATGCCGCCGTAAATCTGCAAATAGAATGGCAGAAAATTGAGACTCATATGCCTTTCCAGCTCTGAAACGTAGCGTATTTAGATCGGCATCGATACTCTGGAGCGCTGCCGCGCCTCTCAGATCTCGCAGCTTCGGTCCGTCGTCAACCGGTCCATCGCGCTCTCCGGAAATGAGCTTCTCAAGTATGTCTATGCTCTTCAGCGCCTTGTCTACCTCTCCCTCATCGACCAACGTTTCGCATGTGGCCAACCCTTCGGCTACTTGGCGCAGCTGCTCGACGGCATCGCTCAATGCCTGCAAGTTTTGTTGACGGCTTCGTTTTTGAACCGCCTCCAAACCGCTCATGGCAATCTCTCGGTCTAGAGCCTCCAATTCCTGTCTGAGCGTTTTGATTCTGTCAACAGAACCGGCAGCTTCAGAGTGGAGTTCCTTCAACGATCCCAGCGCAGTGAAGAACGTGGTTGAAGCGGTAGATATAGAATTGATGAGATGCATTTCTATAGTATCCATGTACCAAGAGAGCTTCTCTTGTAGAATAGCATTGGTAGCGAGCGCTTTTCGAGGAGCTGCGCTATCACCCTTTGGCTTGCCCTCGGCCGGTTTTATAACTTCGGATCGCTCGCTCACAATATCAAACGTTCGCGGGTTCTCTAGATGAAAGCCTTCGTCAAAGTACACCGTTGGAATAGTCGACAGCGGCGGCGGTCCCTGGGCCGCTTTGCGACTGAAGCTTATGCTCGGCTTGCGGGACGGGCTCGGCGCGTCGATCGAAGCTAGCGACGTTATCGAGGAGGTAGAGCCGCGCCTCACTGGTCGTGTCCTAGACGGTCGCAAGTAGCCATCTGCAGACTCACAGGGCTCATCAAGTTTGAAAGGGCGCCCAGAAGCCGCCGCATCGTCATCGTTTTCCTGGATGCGGCGGAGTTGCTCGTACAGGGCACCCACCTGCGAAAGGTATGGCTTAAAGTCTTCGGCATCGACATGGGGAATGTTCGTCAAGGTTACGGGTGGGATATCTCGCGCAGTTGGGGGTTTGTGAGCGCTAGAGGTTGGCGCTGTCGTGTGAGGTTGGAGACCGGTTCGTACGATCGGAGGCTGTAGCAACGTCGAGATGGCTTCATGGACTCAGCAATGTAGCTGGGTGCGTGGATAATTCAAAACAAACCATTTTGACCAGATTCATAAACCGAAACGTTCCCGCCGCTAACTGAGGAATGCAGAGCGCCGCCAATGGAATGGATGGAGCTTGCGGTTGATCCTCGCCTCGAAGCTGGCTTATTCCTGCTATGCAAGCTATTAGGTACCTGATCGGGTGCCGTCGCAGCACTGACTGGATGCGTACCTGTGGAAAGCATAGTCCGCCCGACCGCCCGGTGATAGCGGTGACAAGCTATCAACAGACTTGCCAGCGTTAGGCGAGGAGAACATGATGTGTGCGCTTCGGGAGCTAGGCGTGATGATACAGCCAGCTAACGGATGCTGTGGTGATGTGTTGTATAATCTATCTGGGTATCATCGCTGGAAGAAAATATGCGGAATAGGAGTACGGCTAAATTCGAGGTTGGGATGGACGGAAATATAGTAGTAGGTGCAGCGCAACGCACCACTTGTCGTCATTGTCGCAAACAGTAATCTGTAGCTGTGGTCACAGAGCTCCTGGTGGAGCCTCACAGAAGCGACAGCCGAAGAATGGCCGCGGGCTGCACGTGACGGGATTGCTTGAAAGCCACAGTCCCCAGCCACAAAGCCAGCCAGCCACAGCCAACGGTAGCGCCCTGCAACCACTTAAAGTCGCGTGTCGCGTCGCCCTGCAGTCACGCGTCTGGACGCGTAAATTGTCCCCTTCAATATTAGTTAATACAGCGCGCTTTTGCAACCCCTCCATCAACTGCTTCACGTTCCGAATCTTGCGACTTGCAGCATTCCCACTCTACAAATCGAGCGAGCCGCCCATCATGGATGCTCCATCTGTGTATTCGACACACGTGTACGAGCCGAGTTCTGCGAACACCGGTGATACTAGACTGCAAATCCAAACCCAACTCGAGACGTTTGTTCTCGACTTTCGTCTCGACAACAACTTTGTCTATCGGTAAGAAACCACCCCCATCGTGACAGTACGAGTGCTAACAGTAATTCAGTGATCAACTACGCGAAAATGCTATTCTGCAAAAGTACTACTGCGATGTCAACATCAACCATCTGATTAACTTCAACGAAGAGCTTGCTCATAAGCTTGCCTCTGAACCGGCTGAGATAATCCCTCTGGTGGGTATTTTACTCAGTACTCCGTTACAAGATTTGCTCACACGTTGCCTAGTTTGAAAATGCCTTGAAAAAGTGTTCTCACAGAATCCTCTTCCCTCACGACCGTGACGTCAAACTTCCAGAGCATCAGCTGCTGCTTCACTCCGACGCTGGGGATATTTCCATCCGAAACCTCGACTCCATGACCATTGCTCGGCTGGTCCAAGTTCCCGGTATTGTCATTGGCGCTTCTGTCATGTCGTCGAAGGCCATTCAACTGCAACTACAGTGCCGCAGCTGCCAACACCAACTGTCTGTTCCTGTCTTCGGTGGCTTCACAGGTGTCTCCCTTCCGCGCCAATGCGAGCGCAAGAGACTTAAAAACGACCCGACCCCCAAGTGTCCTCTCGACCCATACTTTGTCTTGCATGAAAAATCGCTATTTGTTGATCAGCAAGTTATCAAGCTGCAAGAGGCGCCGGACCAAGTTCCTGTGGGTGAACTTCCACGACACGTGCTCATCTCTGCAGACCGATATCTCACAAATCGAGTCGTGCCGGGCTCACGATGCACAGTCACGGGGATTTTCTCCATTTACCAGAATAAGGGCTCCAAAAATTCGGCTACAGGTGGCGCTGTGGCCATTCGCACACCATACTTGCGCGCCGTCGGCATCCAGACCAGTTCTGACCAACTAAAGGGATACACCAGCTATACAGAAGAGGAAGAGCAAGAGTTCCTGGAATTGAGCCGTCGACCAGATTTATACAGTGTGATGGCCGACTGCATCGCGCCATCCATCTATGGCAACAACAATATCAAGAAAGCTATTCTCTGCCTCCTTCTCGGCGGCTCCAAGAAGCTGTTGCCTGACGGAGCCAAGCTAAGAGGTGACATCAATGTGCTCCTTCTTGGTGACCCTGGAACAGCCAAGTCTCAGCTTCTCAAATTCGTCTCAAAGGCTGCTCCCATATCCATCTACACCTCTGGTAAGGGCTCGTCCGCTGCCGGTCTTACAGCGTCTGTCCAGCGAGACCAATCGACGCGCGAATTTTACCTCGAGGGTGGTGCCATGGTACTTGCTGATGGTGGTGTTGTCTGCATTGACGAGTTTGACAAGATGCGCGACGAAGATCGCGTGGCCATTCACGAAGCCATGGAGCAACAGACCATTTCGATCGCCAAGGCCGGTATCACCACCATCTTAAACGCCAGAACATCGGTCTTGGCGGCGGCAAACCCCATATTTGGTCGCTACGACGACATGAAGACCCCTGGGGAAAACATTGACTTCCAGACCACTATCCTTTCTCGTTTCGATATGATATTCATCGTGAAAGACGAACATAACCGAGAAAAGGACATCAATATTGCCAAGCACGTCATGGGCATTCACATGGATGGCCGCGGCGTTGAAGAAGTTGCCGAGTCAGAAATTCCAGTGGACAAGATGAAGAAATATATTTCCTACTGCAGAAGGTGAGTTCCAGGCTGTTTCTCCCCAGGACCACCCCCCGCTAACAATTTTCCCAGCCGTTGCGCTCCTCGTCTAAGCTCAGAAGCTGCCGAGAAGCTGTCGTCCCACTTCGTCTCCATCCGCCGGCAAGTTCACGCCGCTGAAATTGAGGCCAACGCTCGTTCCTCCATCCCCATCACCGTCCGTCAGCTCGAGGCCATTGTCCGCATCACCGAGTCCCTGGCCAAACTAACGTTATCGCCCATTGCCACCGAGGCACACGTCGACGAGGCCATCCGCCTCTTCCTCTGCTCGACCATGGATGCCGTGAACCAAGGCAGCAACCAAGGCAGCCGCGACCTCAACGACGAGGTGAACAGCGTCGAGGCCGAGCTGAAGCGCCGTCTGCCCATTGGATGGAGCACTAGCCTGACCACTCTGCGACGCGAAATGGTCGAGGGCAAAGGATACAGTGAGCAGGCTCTGAACAGAGCCCTGATGTACATGGAGAGGAGAGATACCATCGTCTTCAGAAACCAGGGTGCTCAGGTCCACCGCAATGGTGCTTGATCTATATGCATGGTGGTGATTGGTTATTTCGTTTGGAGACGGTGCGTAATGATATCTTTTGGAGTTGGCGATGCAAACGAGGTATAATGGGAAATGATGAAAATTTGCGAATGGAAATGACCTACTTTGTCATTTAGAAGCTCTCTTTGGGTTGAAAATACAAACTAACTAGTAAATATACATCATATAATGATATGATCGGTCAAAGCTGCGGGCCGTGTCGCAAGTCTCCTATCCGATCCATAGGCCTCTATAGTACAGGAGCTGCAGGGTCCCCTGCTTGCTCATCTTCGAGTCTCTTAGCCTCGGCTTCTTTCCATTCTTTATCGGACATGTGGTAATACTGTGCGAGCCCAGTGAAGAAAGCCCAAATCTCGCCAGATATAGCCAGGTGCATCAGCTCCGCGCCTACCAAGTGGGTTACTGCGCGCCACGACAACTCGCTGAGAACATTGGGCACATATATGTCGTCACATGGCAGGCCATAGCGTAGTCTATGGTAGCGCGCCATAAGCCTCAATGCGGTTGCTTCGTAGGCTGCCATCAACAGCCTAAGAGTCGTGTCTGTGTATATATTGGCGGCCAGCAGCGCAGGTAGCTGCGTAAGCAGAGTGTCCAGGTAGACCGGTTGGGCATCGGCTTTTGCATCAGCTGCCTGACTAGGGCGCAACTCGGCAGACCATAACCCGGGTGGCGCGTCTGGGCTTGCTTCTGTGGCCTCGACGTCGAAGCTTATCAGCGTGGTGTTGACTCGCTCGCTGTCGTCTTCGTCTGTCGCATAATCGTCTTCTCGATTCATATACGAGTCTACGTGAGCCTCGTGATGTTCTGGTGATTCCGCATTCACCTCGTGCCCATCAAGTACCAACCCTGCGTCTTCAAGTGCCTCCGGCTCTTGTTCGATGGCGGTTTGCTCAGGCAGAGACGGGCCAGCTTCTTCTGGTGGTGGTGCTGGGGGAAGCAGTACTCTGCGGCCCCGAAAAGCGGTGCTTGGAAGCCTTTTAAATATCTGCGACCAAACTTCGGGCTGTAAATCTCTGGCGACCCGAAGGACCATGACCCAAAGCAGGAAGGGAGTCGCATTCGCAATGGCATTACCCGTCCAACGGAGCAAAGAGAGTGCGTCAAGTCCCTCCAACGGCGGCGGCGCGGGAATAGGTGAGTCTTCTGTGAATGGGATGAAATATGACGGGCGCGGCAACCATCGGTCAGCTGGAATCAGGCCAAGTCGCTGCATGGATGCAAAGTATTTGAGGTGGGTTCGAAAGTATGACCACACGTCAAGCATACTGGAAATGATTAGCAAAATTCGCATAGGGGGCATGAGTTGGCCTTACATGCGACGCGCCACAATCTTTTCTCTATCCCCGAGCCATACTCGAAACAAGGCGCGGTCTAGATAATTAGTGAACAGCCCAGCAGCTGCGCCAGGTATGACATCTCTTTTCCAGGAGAACTCGTTCCTTTGCTGCCAAAATTGCCAATACGGGACTTTTGAATAGTCGCGATATACCTACTCGCCATTAGCGTGGCGCAAGCCAGGAGAAGGGGGGGGGGAGGTTTACAAGGATGCGTTGACGAATGCCATGAATACCAAACAGCCCAACCATTTCCATGGCGCGCCTGGCGTGAGAATCGAGCCTGCGACCAACTTCTTCTTCGTGTGCATCATGTCTCCTTTGCGATTCTGCTTCTGGGCTTTTATTCGGATTTTCCGGCTCCGCAACACCAATCACCAACATGACCTCATTGTGCGATCGCACAATCTCGCGGTTGATTCTCTTGGTATCCGGGTTTACAGGACGGCCTCTTTGATCATATTGCTGTTGTGGATGACGGTGATCCTCTGGGCCTTCGCCCTGAATAACATCGTCATATGGTGACCGGCCCTTGGATCACGTTAGAACGTCATGTGCTTCTGTGCCTGCTCATTCCGTAGTTAGACGGCTCACCAAGGCTTGGGCGGTTAGGGGACCTTGCATGCCCATGGCGAAGGTGCCAACAATGTGCGTCGTGTTTGAGATCTGACGACACGATAGTATCAGGAGACGCTATTCCGTAGCAAAACTACCAGCATTTTGATGCAAGCAATAATCGTTCATTCAGTTGACAGATGATGTTACAATGTCGAAGGGTCCCAGGTTGTAACTAGTGAGTGTGTGCCCTAGGGTGGTAGGTAACTAGGTAGGTAGTTCAGTGAAGGTGACCTCTCGCGGCGGCGAGCTAGGAAGTGGGTCGCGCCTTATCTTATCGGGCCCTCCAAAAAAAAAACCGAAGTTCGACTTGATAGCTACCTGCATTCTCTAAACGCCTGCATCCGTACAAGATGGCTACAAAGCAGCCTTTGAAAACGACTTTCGATGTCGATCGCGTGATCCGTCCCATATTCACTGGTGGATCCGTGTCAATTGGCAATGATGCGCAAGTCTTGGCCACCACAATTGGCGAGGATGCTATTCTCACCAACCCCACCAACGGTCGGCATCTTGGAGAAATCGAAGGAGTACGTTCCGGTTTCGCAACGAAAGCGAAATAACTCGCTAATACAACCAACAGGATGGAGAGCTCATTTCAACGCTGACTCGTGCGTCATGGATGCCCTCTTCTTTGAGAACGCTTTGCTAACTTCCGGCAGTGACACCCTCTGCTTCGCACCTCATCATCTGCTCTCGATCACTGTCCATGAGAATCTTCTCGCTGAAAAAGTCGGCGGATGGGGACACCATTGAATCATCTCTTCTTCGAACGCTCAAACCTCATGGCACACCAGTTGTAGTGATTGCCGTCGACCGAACAAGCACGCTCCTCGCTACGGGCGGCACAGATGGCGCGATCAAGGTTTGGGATATTGCTGGCGGTTATGTGACACATACATTCCGCGGTCCCTCTGGTCTGATATCGGCGCTGCACTTTTTCGAAGTTGCATCTCAATCCCAGGATGCTAAGCGGTCTCGCAAAGCGAAAGGCCCCTCACAAGACGAAGAGGAAGAAGATTTAAACACAACTAGCTTCAGACTCATATCCGGCAGTCAGGATGGCAAAGTCAAAGTATGGGACCTGAACAAACGGAGTTGCATAGCGAATCTCGACTCACATGTCTCTGACGTCAAAGGACTGGATTATTGCCCTACGCAGCATGCCATCGTGACTGCTAGTCGCGACAAGACACTCATTTGGTGGGATGCCAAGTCTTGGAAGATCCGCAGAGTTGTACCCTGCCTAGAACTTGTGGAGTCTACTGGATTTCTTGACAATGGCAACTTGACATATTCAGCCGGCGCTACTGGTTGTCTTCGTATCTGGGACACAGATACAGGCAAAGAATTGACGCCAAAACAAGCGGAGAAGAGCGAGGAAGAAGCCTTCGTAACTGCTTTGTACAGACCTGGTTTACCGTTTATAATTGGCGTCCAAGTAGATCATACGTTGGCTCTGTACAAACCGCCAACGAAGGTAGAGTCTGTCTCGCTTGCTGCGCCCGAGCCTTTCCGCCGCATTTCCGGAACCCACGACGACATCATCGATCTTGCCTATATGCTACCTGATAGCACTCTACTCGCCTTGGCTACAAACTCCGAAGACATTAGGCTGGTTTCTATTGTGGAATCTGAGGTGGACACCGCAGCCCCGGCATGGAGCATTGATAGCGCGCCGTATTTCGGTCAAGATACGGCACTTCTAAAGGGGCATGAAGACATTGTCATCTCACTAGACGTTGACTGGTCTGGTCACTGGATTGCGACCGGTGCAAAAGATAACACGGCAAAGCTTTGGCGAATTGATCACGCCAACCGGTCATACACCTGCTGGGCCACCTTCTCGGGCCACGCCGAGTCCCTTGGTGCCGTTGGTCTACCGAAAACACCCCCCCAAGAGAGTTCTCAGGCATTCCAAGACCCCCTGTCCCATCCTCCTACCTTTGTTATTACCGGTTCCCAGGACCAGACTATCAAGAAGTGGGAGGTGCCTCGCAAGTCGCAGCAGCAGGGAACCAAGTTGGGTGCCAAATCACTCTATACTCGAAAGGCACATGACAAGGATATAAATGCTATTGATGTTCATCACTCTGGAAACTTGTTTGCTTCAGCCTCTCAAGACAAGACTGTGAAAATTTGGTCTGTTGCCGAGGGCGAAGTGCAAGGTATTCTACGGGGCCACAAGCGAGGTGTGTGGTCAGTACGCTTTTCGCCTGTGAACCTGCCTGCACTGCAGAGTGACGACGGCCCCGTTACCGGCAAAGGTGTCGTTCTTACGGGCAGTGGTGACAAGAGTATCAAGCTCTGGAGTCTGGCCGACTACACGTGTATTCGAACCTTTGAAGGGCATTCAAACAGCGTGTTGAAGGTTGCATGGCTCAACATGCCTGCGAAAGGCGAGCAGAAGAAACTCGTCCAGTTTGTTAGTGCTGGCGGCGACGGCCTGGTCAAGGTCTGGGACACCAACTCGGGCGAGACAGAGTGTACGTTGGACAACCATGAAGACAGAGTATGGGCTGTTGCTGTACAACCAAAGACGAATATGATTGTCTCTGGCAGCGGTGACTCGACGGTGTCTTTTTGGAAGGATACTACATCAGAGACACAAGCTGCCGCGTCCAAGGCTGCCTTTGATCTGATCGAGAAAGAGCAAGAGCTGCAAAATCACATCCACGCTGGTTCCTACAGAGAAGCCATCACACTAGCTCTACAGTTGAACCACCCGGGGAGACTGTTGTCTCTCTTCACTTCAGTTGTTACTAGAGAAACGAAAGACGAGGGCAGTTACACCGGCTTGCGAGCCGTGGATGAGGTTCTCGGCAATCTCTCCGACGATCAGATCTTCCTACTGTTACTCCGTCTACGAGACTGGAACACGAATGCGCGCACTGCCCCTGTTGCACAGAGAATTCTCTGGGCTCTGGTGCGCAGCTACCCAGCTTCCAAATTCTCCACCTTGTCCGTCAAGGGCGCGCGCGGGCAGCAGAGCCTGAAGGATATCCTTCAAGCGTTGAGAGTTTACACCGATAGACACTACAAACGCATGGAAGATTTGGTGGATGAAAGCTATTTAGTAGAGTATACATTACGAGAAATGGATAACCTTGCTCCTGTGGCAGGCGAGGATGAGGTTATGGAGGATGGCATGATTTGTATATAACAGGCTCCAGACATGTATATAAAAGGAAGGTTAGACGTTCCAGAGAATCAACTTTGGAAGTGCGTTATCATTGAAAAGTATTGGATTTTAAACTTGTATTCTGGCAAGCTTGACATGGTGTGCCAGGTGGTGGACATCCATAGGTACGGCGGACGACCAGAAGCTGTGGGCCCACCATCAGGAAGCTCTTGGACAACTTTTCGTGCAACAACGACACCAGACAATTGTATTGATGCGCCGCTACCTCCTGTAGCCAGGTCGATTGGTTTAGCGAAAATTTGGGAACTATAATAAATATATAGCGTCATACGACTCGCTGCATCTCGACGGGCACAATGGGCAAGCGACACGCCACCGAGGCGCTGGAAGATCTACAGGGTGTCGCCTCACCCTCGTCGAAACGTTCACGAACGCGCGAGGCCGAATCGCCCACGGAAGGCGGCAGTATAGCAGGCGCATTGAACCACGGTGATGCGAACAGATACACGGCGGCGACGGCGACGGGTGGCGACGGCGAAGAGGACGAGGACGAGTTTGAAGGCGCAAACGCGGCGCCCACAACGGCACCGACGCGGCAGGCCAACCCGACCGCCGGCTACGACGACCTGTATCTCGACACAATTAACCGCAACGTGCTCGACTTCGACTTTGAGAAGCTGTGTTCGATATCGCTCTCCAACATCAACGTCTACGCGTGCCTGGTGTGCGGGCGCTACTTTCAAGGCCGCGGGCCCAAGTCGCACGCCTACTTTCACTCGCTCGACGAGGACCACCACGTCTATATCAACCTCGAGACGCAACGGGTCTACGTGCTTCCCGAGGGCTACGAGGTCAAGAGCAAGGCGCTCGACGACATCAAGTACGTGTCGGATCCGCGGTACACCAAGAAGGAGGTGATGCAGCTAGACCGCGCCGCCGGCGCCCGCAAAAAGAGCTGGACGCTGGGCGGCAAGGAGTACGTGCCGGGCTTTGTGGGCATGAACAACATCAAGGAAAACGACTACCTCAACGTCATCGTGCAGGCGCTGTCGCACGTCGCGCCGCTGCGCAACTACCTCCTCCTCGACGACTTCTCCGGCAAGTCGGAGCTGGTCAAGCGATGCAGCATCCTCTTCCGCAAGATTTGGAATCCGCGGGCGTTCAAGTCGCACGTGTCGCCGCACGAGCTGCTGCAGGAGATTGCGCTGCGCTCCAACAAGCGCTTCACGCTCACGGCGCAGTCGGACCCCGTCGACTTCCTCTCGTGGTTCCTCAACTACCTGCACCTTGGGCTGGGCGGCAGCAAGACGCGGCCGGGCAGCTCCATGGTGCAGCGCGCCCTGCAGGGCCGCCTCAAGGTCGAGTCGCAGGCCATTACGGCCCGCGCCGACGCCGGCGACCGGCTGCGCTTCGAGGACGCCGGCGAGGTCAAGGTGGACATTGTGCGCTTCCTGCTCCTGACGCTGGACCTGCCGCCGGCCCCGCTCTTCCAGGACGAGCTGGAGCGCAACATCATCCCGCAGGTGCCGCTGGCCGCGGTCCTCGCCAAGTACGACGGCCGCTCGGCGCAGGAGCACCACGCGCAGCGCAAGCGCTACCGCCTGCTGCACCCGCTGCCCCCGTACCTCGCGCTGCACGTCAAGCGCTTCAGCCAGAACAAGTTTGTGGCGGAGCGCAACCCGACCATTGTCACGTTTGACGCGCGCGGCGGCCTCGACCTCGCGCCGTACGTCGAACCGTGCCCGGACGCGTGGCCGCCCGGCGAGCCCATCTGGTACGACCTCGTCGCAAACGTCGTCCACGAGGCCGTCCATACCAAGGAGGACGTGGCCGACACGGGCGAGGAGCGCCGCACTTGGAAGGTCCAGCTGCGCGACAAAGCGACGGGCGAGTGGGTTGTCGCCCAGGACCTCTTCGTCGACAAGGTCCAGAGCGAGCTGCTCTACCTGGGGGAGTCGTATCTGCAGATCTGGGAGCGCAGAAGAGAGCCTGCGGGCAAGGGCAAGTCAAACGCAAAGTAGAAGAGACAAAAGCTGAATCGGCTTTGTAGATGAGGACGTAATATACAGGGATATTGAACAGACAACCTCGTTTAATAGTTACACCCTTTTTCAAGATTACAAGTGACGACAGGAGCTGCCTCAATGATGAACATACACAAACGGGGCCGCGTGCTTTAGCAGAATTTATGAGGTTGGGGAGTAGGTATCTCGCGGCGTACTGTCACGCGGGATGGGATTGCTTAGTTTTCTTGTCTGAAAAGGCCCTCTAATTATTTCAAGATGGCATCACCTCCCTATAACATGCGCTGTCCAGCCATTCGTCGTGCCAAAATGGTTCTATTATACACAACATCCTCTCCTGGGGCCACTAGAGGCCTCGCATATACAAACCGGTTTGCCTGCCAGCAGATCCCAAAGTCCTTGCCATATTCCAGGTGAAAGGACGCGAAAGATCCAGTAACACCAACGGTTCTACCATCATTCATGTTCTTGCCATCCGTTCATAAGGGCTAAACAAAACAAGAAAGCAATAAGCCCCACCCCTTTACGATCAGAAGCAGTAACGTGAAGGGACGAAAGGTACGTTTTCCTTCAGTGTCTGCCAGAAAGAAATAACTGTAACCAAGACACGGGCCATACAGAAATACATCAGGGTACAAAGGCGAAGCCTCGGATCAAAGGAGAATTCAGAACCATGGTTTTGCTTTCTTCTTATTCCAACCTTTGCATTAGTATACAGTAACGCAGCGGCAGGGTTGCCTTTCAATCAGGTCCGTCAATCGTGGCCCTGTCTCGAGCTGCCTGCGTTTCGCTTGTCGGTGTGGTGCTGAATAGCTTTCTCACGACGCTGCTCATCGATGGCGGTTCGCTGCTGAATGCTAGAGTCGTGGCTCTTGAACTCGACCCGGGTGTTGGGCGGGAAGTTAAGGATACGCTTCATAGTTTCGCTGCAAAAGGTCAATATATGATTTAGTCTCTTCTGATGGCGGCAGATGAAACTTACCGAATCTTAAGCACACGACCACCATCCGTTCGAGTCCAAATGCTCAGAATGTCTTCGCCATTTCGCATGCTGAGCACCGCACCGCACACTTCCTCGCCAGCATCACCAAACTGATCCCCGACAAGGGAGAGGAGCAGGTCTTCCCAGTGACGGTCAGCGACGCCCTTCTTCATTCGGACTACCCACTTCCCGCCATTCCTATTGACCTCGTCCTCCCAGATAGGTCGAATATCCTTTTTGAAGAGGTGGTAGTCAGACACTACAGGCAGAGACGAGGGTCTTTTGAGGTGTGAGTAGATTTCCCAAAATTCCTCGGCCGTGCGCATGGTGGCAATTCCGTGAAGAGTATTCTCGTACTCGATGTAGCCATGGGCCTTGGAGATGGGCGGACGGTACCAGAATGACCAGGCGTCTTTCAGCGGGTGTATCTGGCCGACAGCGGAGCCAGAAGGACTGGCCTCTGATATAGGGACCATGCTTCGCGGCTTTCCAGCCGCCTTGGCGGCATCTTTTGCAGCGTACTGCTTTGGCGCGGCTGATGCCATGACGGTATCGAAGGGGTTGCCCGGCGTCTTTGGCGTTTTTGCAGAGCCGAAGGATGCAAAAGCGCCAGATCCTAGGCCAAAAGCGCTAGAGGCACCATTGCCCGTGGTCGGCGAGGCCAGGGCGCTTCCTGGGTTAGAGGGAAACCCTCCTGGCTTGCCATCCTGGCGCCGGGAGGAGGCAAATCTGCCAGAGTCACCCGTGGCGGTGTTGGCTGGCGTCGTCAAGGAGAGCTTGCTGGAGCTATTTAGACAGGTTAGCTGATGCCTCCAAGTCTCGTCAGGGTTGCGGAGTCAAGTACTAACTTTGTGCGACGAGCCCACAGGTTATCCATTGACGCCGTTTCGCTGACTCGTATGATGCAAGGCGACGGTTGAGCGCAGGAACGGCACCTGGCAAGGGTCGGGGAAGGGCTGCGGGGAAGGTGGTAGCGGGGAACAGAAACGACGGAACAGCGAGAAGAGTCAAAGTCGTGCGTTGGGTTGCTATTTGATGTTGATGGTGGGCTGACGGCGTCACAGGCGGTTCGGGCGGGAGCAAAGTCGATGTGTCGACTGGCGAGGGAGGATTCAGGCACGCGAGCGGAGTGGCGTTGACGGTCGGGGTTCGTGTTAACAGTGCGCGTGGATTGGAAAGCAACAGTTGAAGACGAAAATGCGCAGATCAAGTTGTACAGAGACGGATTCGGAGGATATGCGGGCGGGCAAGAGAGGAACGCGGTTCGATGGTGTTCGGGTGGTGTGTTGTGGATCAGAGGCGGTCGATGAGAAGAAGAATTCTACCTACGTGAGGTTTAGGTTCTTATGGTGGAGGCAACAGGTGGTGGCAGGCAAGCAGGCAAGCAGGCCCGGCAGGCCAAGGACGCTGTTTGTGGTTTGTGGCGCGGTGAGTGAGTGTGTGGAGAATTAACCTAACCTACCAGGTAGGTACGCCGTTTACTAACGAATTCGTTGACAACTAAGCAGCCACATTGCTAACCAACAGACGCCATGTGTGGCTTGTCGCTTTGAGGATACCTGTTGGGTACTTGGGTCAAAACTTGATACAACATCAGCCAAGCGCTTCCCAGACGTATTTGGGATTTCATCCCGCAAAAGCTGGGCTATTTAACTAGGTACCTACTTATATAACTACCTAGGTAGTTACCTACCTACCTAGGTCGGGATAAAGGTACTCACAGCTTCAAGCTCCCCAACGGCATCAACGGTTCGATACAGTAGTACAGCTCCGCGAGAGCAACGCTTATGGATATTTGACTGTTACCGGATACTTTGTGAACAGATGTTGGTACCAAGATTCATATGGAATATATAGAAATCCTCTATTGTGGTCCTACCTAGGTATGCTGCAACTGCTGTAAGGAAGTACTGAAGCGTAGGTAGGTACCTACCGGCCGGGTGCCGGGCCAATGCCGGGGCCTTTTTTGTTACCTAGTAGTACCTAACTACCTGTACCAACAAATACGTGCTGCATTCGTTGTGGCCTAGGTAGGTAATCGTAACATCCATTTTGATGGCAAATCTTGAACCAAATAGTTAGAATAAATATCTCTCCTTCTACCATACTTTCTTCCATATTTAACAAGGCCACAGCACTCTCTATTGATCTTCACGGCGGCCAAGACCCCAAGTATTCCATCGATTAGCTGGTTTAGTGGCTCTGTCCTACCACTTTTTTTCTCTCTACGACTCTTATCGCTTCCTACCTGGTACTTATCAGTGTCACCGCTAAAAAAATTTCCCCAGCTCTACTAATTCTGCCAGTCGGCCACGCCCGGCATCTCAGCGCAACCAAGCACACCGAAAGGAAACCTCACAGTCACGCAATCGATAGCGCATTCAAGCTCAATCCGAAATCATGGCGCCCAGCCGTACGCGCACCATGAAAAACAAGAACGCCGCGCCCAAGGGCGCCGGTGGCAAAGGCGGCAAGCGCTCTGACACCGACGGCGTCTCCAAGTCTAAAGTGTCCAAAGCCCCCAGCTCCTCCAAGCAAGTCAAAGACAAGAGCGTCAGCGCCCTCTTCAAGAAGCGCAAGCCAAAGAAATATACCGAGGCCGAGCTGGGCGTTCCCACACTCAACATGGTGACGCCCGTGGGCGTTGTGAAGCCCAAGGGCAAGAAGAAGGGCAAGGTCTTTGTCGATGATCGGGTACGTCACTTCACAGTCATGCCACGGTGCACGCGCAGACGTAGACGCACATTGTTTGCTTTTTTTGAACAACCATCTGACAGCGTATCACAGGAAAGCATGAACACCATCCTCTCCATCGTTCAGGCCGAAAAGAATGGCCAAATCGAGTCCAAGATGATCAAGGCCCGCCAGATGGAAGAGATCCGCGAGGCACGCCGAGCCGAGGCGGAAAAGAAGGACGAGGAGAGGCAATCAAAACTCGAGAACGTCAAAGACTCGCTGCGACGCAAGCGCAAGAAGAAGACAACCGAAGTTGACGACGACAATGTCAAGGAGTTTCTATCTACTGGCAGCAAGGCCACCAAGGCATCCAAGAAGAAGGTTGCATTTGCATAGCTGTCTGCACTGTTCATGTATGCGTGCGTTTATTTTCTACTTTTGCATTGTTTGGCGTTTTGGGGCATACCGATCTTCGCAGGGAGTGGGGAAGTTGGAAAAGTATTTGTTGATATAAAAAGCAGGAATACAATTCTCAGCTGATGTCTATTATCGATTTTATATGCTGTCTAAACGCTTGTACATGTACTTTTCTCTCTAAGAAATGGGAATGAGGTGGTGCTAGCGGGGTTCCGCGGCTGCCTACATCTGAGGGACATGCAGTCTTCGGCGCATTGGGTCAAAGGGGACGGGCACCTCGTCAACTTGGGCTTCTTTAGTGGGCTTGACCGAGTCGAAGTCGACCTTGGAGGCCATGTAGTTCAAAAAGTTGCACACGGGCTTGGCCAGCCACCGCGAACCACCCCACTCAAACCAACAGAGATGCCCGCCGAGGGATGTTGTGAGTAGAATGGTGTTGGGATTTTGGCGGAACTCTTGGTACGGGAGAGCGGCGTCGAGTGCAATCTATCGCGATGTATTAGTCTTTCAACAGCCCAAGCCTTCCCGCACCGACTTACAGGATCGTCTTTGGCATTGACAGCCAAAAAGGGAATTCTGATGGACAGAACGGAATCGCAGGAAGATGCATCCCGGTAGTATGCAGATTCGGTGGGATATCCCCAAATTGGACATCTATTATTTGTTATTTATATGAGCTTTTTCGGGGGGGTCCAAGCAACCTTACTGGACTTCTCTGTCGAAATCATGCAGATAGATGACTTTCTCGATGGCCTCCAGGTCGAGGTTTGTGTACTCCTTAAGCTCCTTCTTGTGAGTAGTGACAAGATTCTTCATGGACGCTGTAAATCGCTATGAGTACGAGTCAACATTTCGGGAATTCATACAACATACCGCCCATTACCCTTAAATACAGTTCCCTGCCGATCAAAGTGTTCTGCATGAGCTTGCTGGTGCAATCCAAATTAAATGGATTGGAACAGACAACAGCCGCTTTGAGCACGCAGTTTTCACCCTCTTCAGCACAGTACTGCACAGGAATTAGCGCTTTTCCCTCTGCGAAGCCAATTAGCAAGGCTTACGTTTGTCATCATGTTCGCGCCAAGAGAGAACCCAAGACCAAAAAGAGGTCTATTGGGAAACTTTTGACGAAGCCACTTGATCGTCTAGAGGATGACAATATCAGCAGGTGATCGAGGACGAAGGCGAGGCACGCATTACCTGTCTAACGTCCCACGTCGCGCGGGCATTGTAAAGCACTCCACTGGTGATTTTGCTTCCGGCGCATCCCCGCGAGTTGACAACACACACTTCCCAGCCTCCCTTACCGAGGAGTGGCGCAATGGTGTGGCGGAGATAGATTTCGTGCGAGCCACCAGACAACCCGTGGAGGACGACGACCATGGGCTTTTTGTCATCAGATCCCAAACTCTTATCCTCCGCCTCAGTGTAATACACGGTTCGGTGCGGGAGCGACGGATCGTTTTCTTCGAAGGGCTCCACGGCAAAGTCAACAGCGTACGACCCCTTGTACGTAGCATGGTCTGCATCGAACAAACGGCGACGGTAGAAGACCGGCGGTCCACTGGGCTTTGTCGCCGTCCACATGGTTTGGACGTGGCCATTGAACAGCAGCGGGTTCAGGTGACAGGGCGGCGTAGTTGCCTCGCAGATTTTGAGCAGATCCGTATCCGTGCCATCCTTTTCCTTGATGGCTCTCGGTGATGGTGAATGAGTAAACTCTACCTTGGCTTTCCCTAACCACTCCATTGTGACAGGTTTCCCAGGGGTATACCGATCAGCGACCCTCGTAGCTCTCCGAAAAAAAGCCAACAGTATCGGCAAAGCTTTGAAAAGCTGAGTTTCTCAGGGGAAGACTTTTCAGGCCAAACGGCAAAAATATTCTAAGGTCCGTACAGCGCGGGGCGGCAGCTGGCTGTGCAACAAGGTACGGACGGAGGTCTTGGTTGGCAGACGGACGCTAGCGATCTTGTAGAGAAGATCTCAGTATCCAAGGACAACGGAGCGAATGGGTCATGCTATATCATTTTATAGGAACTTCAGAGGGAGTATTCAATCACAAGCAGACTTGGCGCAGACCATGCTCATAGCGTTACAGAAAATTGTCATGGCCTGAATCTGAACCGCGGCACGGAGATTAAGCAAACGCCGTTGCCGACATTTATGATACCTGCTGTAGATACAGTGATTAGTCATGGTATTTGTGAGCTCTGATAAGTTCCACCAAGGTGGCTTCTGTGTCACGTGACTTTTGCAACCCACTCTCTGGCCAGCCTCTTGCGGTAATCATCGCACAAAAGCATCAGCATTCTCCTCTCAGCGTGCCATAGCCCATCGCATCCCAACCCACCTCCCTGGGGGAACGACAAGTTGAGCCGTGCTTAGCGGATGGAACGAATAAGTGGAGGACCATAAGGGATTTTCTCAACCTGACACGCAACCTTCCGCCAAACCAATCTGCAGTGCAAAGATGAATGCTGTGCTGCTGGCAGCGCTGCGACGATACCTGCATAGAATGAACCCGCCATCAGGGTGACGCTTTGAGCAAAGAGAGATATTTCACGACAACGAAGGGCTATGTTGCCATCCATAGCATCGACGGCTATGAGAACTACATGTCGCCGCCTAAATCAGCTGCGCCTGCCACTGCGTGGTAAATCAGCGACAACCCTGTACACGAGCATCGGCACGGCAACTCTCGAGAGGCTCAGAAATGCAACCTATTATTTTTGGAACTCTGGCTTCTCATGTCTTACATGGCCGTCACTGCTCGCAGGTTCTCTGCTGCGCCATGACGCGAGCTATTTTCCGGCCAACGGATATCGTGTTTGTGCCTCTTGACAGACAGCACCAGGTGATTCTTTGAGGTTACGAAGGCTTGGCCATTTGAGCCCTGGCATACATTTCGCACGGCAACGAAATCTCACCAGCCAGTGCCGAAGGGGGGAATGTTACGGAAGAGCTGTCACTAACTGCCGCGACGCTCCGTGGACAGAGGGGATCTCGGATTGGACTCGTAAATTTGATCTACCAGGGTCATTCTGTAGTGCTCTATGATTTCATTGCTGCTGTTGAGGATGTCTGCGCGACAAATTGTGCCATCTGAAAACTGTCAGCTCGTCAACCCGCGGACGATGCGGGGCTCGGTGGATGGAGTTGGGTCGGATAACACCGACATTCGGCACGTTCGATTATATTCTGGACTGGGGATAGACTCAGGGATGGCATGTAGCCAATTGCCTTGACCCAGGCTCAATTGGATGAGCAAAAGACGGATGGTGCGCTTAGGAGTGACGCTGCAGCCGCCGCAAACAATACGCCAACGCCATACGCACTCATGAGCGGCTACACGGAAAGCACGTTCTTGCTTGAAAGGGAAATGGACAAAGACATGCCAAAACTGCCAAATGGATATTTGGTCAAGCACAACGAATTCAAAGCCGCGGTCGTGCGCTTCCGTGGCTGATTGAGTGGAGTGTCTTGGTCCGGCTAAGACGCGGCGATTTATTGCTGGGAGCAACTGCACTAACTAAAAACTCAGTCTGGTGTGCACCACCCAAGGCGCTACTCCACCACCATAGCATCGCATCGCGACGCCCCCGAGATGCAGCCATGGAAGAAGTCGGTCAACGCCGTGACCATCGAGAGTGGCCTGGATCGAGCCGACGCTTAGGAGATCTGGGCCGCTCGAGATCTCCCCGTCGCTCTCGCCACAGCCCGAGCAGCACGTCCCATTCTCGCGCCAACGAGACAAGGCCAGATTCAAATCACCAACACCAAGGCCCCCGCGATCGCAGTAGAGACCGGAATAAAGCCCATTCTGCCGAAAAATCCCACCCATCAGCTCCCTCAGACGACTTGATACCCCGCTTCCGTGAGAAGCATTCTCGTGCCGAGGGGCAAGAAAGCAGAACTCATCACCGCCGCGCCCGCAGTCGCAGTCGAAGTCGAGGTCACAGACGACGCAGCCGTTCGCCATCATCGACCAAGCGCCGTCGAACCCGCAGCAAGAGCCCTCGCCGAAAACGGCCGCGACGAGACCACACCCCATCAAGAGGGGGCCGTGAGGAAGGCTCCCATTCTAAATCAAAACACCGCTCCTCAGACGGCAGGAAATCGGGGTCTTCACGCAGGCACGACGATACTCACCTTTCTTCAGAGTTACCTGAAGGTAGCAGCAGGAGATCAAGGCGTGATTCATTGACCAGGTCGCCTACATATTCTACGCGAGAGTCTCGTCGCGAGTCAGGGGATTCTAGACAGCCACATCATAGTGATCGTCATCGATCAAGGAGCCGATCCCCAACCTCTCACGCTCATCACCCACACAGACAAAGCTCGATACCAAGCGATACTGTCGGCACAGGTTTTCTGAAGGGGGGGGTTACATTGAGTGAAAGAGAACGCCATTCGTCGAGACAGCCAAAGGGATCGGAGTCTAGGAATAAGGACTTTTCTTTGAAATCGAATCAAGACGACGCAATGAACCCACGACGTGGCCGCCGCGGCTCCAATTCTCGCTACAGAGACCAGAATGACCCTGCAAATTCCCCACAGCATCGACATTCACCTTCTCCAACGCGTCACAACAACCGAGACGAGCCAACGTCGCACGGCCACAGTGGACAGGATGGTCGCCACACACCACTCGCGACCCACTCTTCTTCAAAATCACCACCATTCGACCCTCCTTCAGGGCCCAGTAATCGAGGGCCACGCGCCGGTTTTCGTGGTGCCTCTTTTGCCGGTCGTGCAGCTCATCGGAACGCGTCATCATGGGGCAGCCAGTGGAATCCTAATAGTTCTCGCGATGGTGAGCAGCGGCATGGTAGCAATGGCGAGAATGATGAAATGAGTGCCATGGATATTGACGACAAGGGCGCCGACGACAAAGCATTCGACAGGTCACGGGACGACCGAGGGCACGACAGAAGTGAGCGCCCTCGACAAGATGCCCACAAAGCACCATCAGCACAAACAAACTCCCCCTCAAAGTTTAGCTTTGCTTTCAAGCCATCTTCTAAGGCCGCTCCCGCCGGTCCCAAGCCCGAAATTTCTCAAAAGTTCAACGCCCCAGCTCAGAAACGAGAAATTCAGGAAAAGGATGGCAAGAATGAACCCCCGCCAGGTGCACCCACACAGCCCGCTGCCCTTTTCGATCGGAAGCCTCCGGACGGCCCAAAAATGGCACCACGGATGCGCAAAGTTATGAAGAAGATGCAACGACCCAAGCCGCGGCCTACACTACCACCAAACTTAGTCGCATCAGAGTCTGTCTTCTTCCGCAAACCCGGGAATGAGTCGGTCGTTGGCTCTGGCACGTATGGCAAGGTTTTCAAGGGCCTGAACGTGTACACGAAAGGGCAGGTAGCCTTGAAACGCATTCGAATGGAAGGAGAGCGGGATGGCTTCCCTGTGACTGCTGTCCGAGAAATCAAACTGCTTCAGTCACTGCGGCATCAAAACATTGTCAATCTTCAGGAAGTTATGGTTGAGAAGAATGACTGTTTCATGGTCTTTGAGTACCTGTCTCATGATTTGACAGGATTGCTCAACCATCCTCACTTCAAGCTGGAGCCACCTCAGAAAAAGCACCTGGCCAAGCAACTATTTGAAGGGCTTGACTATCTCCATGTACGTGGTGTGCTACACAGAGACATCAAGGCGGCCAATATTCTCGTCAGCAGCGATGGTATCCTCAAAATTGCCGACTTTGGTCTCGCCCGGTTCTATGCCAAACGGCACCAGCTCGACTACACAAACCGCGTCATTACAATTTGGTACCGATCCCCTGAACTGTTACTCGGCGAGACACAGTACACTGCTGCCGTTGATATCTGGAGCGCTGCCTGCGTCATGATGGAAATTTTCGTGCAAAAGCCCATATTTGCCGGCGACGGGACAGAACTGAGCCAGCTAGACAAGATTTACAATGTGCTAGGCACTCCGAACCGACATGACTGGCCCGGTCTCGTGGACATGGCCTGGTTTGAGCTGCTGAGACCGACGGCGAAACGGAAAAACATGTTTGCGGAGCTTTTCAGCACGGAGCTCACGCCAGCGGCATACGACCTCGTGCAGTCTATGTTCTTGTATGATCCAGCAAAGCGACCAACAGCAGAGGAAATTTTGGGCCACGCGTACTTTACCGCTGAAGAGCCACTTCCTCAGCAGGCCACAGAGTGAGTTTCCGTCCACGCCCCCGTCTTGCCCCTCGGCATGCAATACTAACCCGGCTTTTGCAGACTTGCCAACATTGGTGGTGACTGGCACGAGTTTGAGTCCAAGGCTCTACGTAAGGAAAATGAGCGACGTGAGCGTGATGCCCGACGAGCGGCCAAGAACCCCACGCCCGCTGCCATTGATCGGAGCCACCACACTGGCCACAACCAGGAGAAAAAGCGCGGCACATACGTCGACGACGACGCTCGAGATGCTAAGCGTGCTCACGTCGAGCGGCCGACGCCTGCCGCCTGAGAATCTAGGGGGGTAAGGCAGAGCTTCATCAGTGGTGTGTCTCTTGAACTAGAAGAGGGAAAGGTGGATGGAGGCATGAGAGTGTTGTCCTTTTTTGTAATGGGATCGGTGTTCTGGGGCATGTATTTCCTCGTTCTTCTTCTATACATATTCGTATGCTAGTCAGCGAAAGTTTTTTGTGTTCTTTTAAGTATTTAACTCTGATGGTTCTCGACATGGGAAAGCATTCAATATCTTTTGGCTCTCTGGATCTCGCTCTTCGCAATATCTTTAGCTCCCTCCCTCTTTCTTTATTCCTAGAGAGCAAACAGCTTGACAAGGGCATATCCAAAAGTACATCATTATCAACACACTTTTCTTGTCGAGCTGTCCACCCGGCAGCCTTGTCCAGGGGGGGGGGGGGTTGCGTCCCAAGCTCATGTTTTTTTTTGTTTCTGGCTCCTGCCCACTACCCCCTCAGCTGTTGTTCTTCCTACGAGTGGTTGTGGGCGCGCGCGTTTTGTGGTCGGTCAAGAATATTGACCAAGGTTGAGGGAAATGCGGCGCCGGCATATGGAAAACAATGGCGGCGCGTGTATGTTTACGTCTGGGCAATGTCGCATTTCGAAAAAGGCTATGAAATGGAAAAGGGGGGGGCACAGAATGGGTATATTATATATGTGAATATAGCATCAGATACATGGTCTATCCGGCCGGTATTATCAAAGGGGTACATGCAATGAACCAGTGACAGTACACCGACACGACCTTGTTACTACATGTGATTATTGTCATTTCGTCATGTCTCATTGTAAAGAGCAGCTTTTTTCTCTTCTTTTTTGTGCTGCACCTTTTTTCTCGTAGAAATCATCAGGGGGGTGCCTCGCCGGGGCTAAACGACTCTCTTCACTGCTCCTCGTGATGTGGACCGTCATCTGCCATGTTCAGGAGGCTGCGCAGGCTGCCAGTAGCGCGATCCTGTCGCGGCGGAGGCGGGGCGGCGCCGCTGCTGCTGTTGCTACTCCACGGAATCCATCCCGCGAGCGCGGAGAGCAGGCCCGTCGCGGTGGCACCATCGACCGAGGAGACGGCGACGCCGTTGGCGGCGGGGCGGGACAGCAGTGGTTTGACGCCCCGGTCCGTCGGGGTGGGGTGCGGGCCGCCGCCCGAGACCATATTTGCTGCCGAGATTGCGTCAGCGGCAGAGGAGCTGGCGGTGTAGACTTGAAGGTTGCTGGTGCAGGACTGCGGCAGCGCGGGATCGCCAGCCAGAGAGACAATAGACGCTAGGTGGGAGGCTGCTGCGTAAGCGGTGGTGGGCACGGATGGAGCGGCCGCTGTCGTCTTGCTGGCGGTGTCAATGAGCGCAAGCGACGAGGAAGGCGTGCGCCGGACGGTAGGTCGTTGCTGGGAAGGGTCTTGGGGCGTGCGTGCTTGTCGCACGCTGGCTGTCGAGCCAGCGGGCGAGGTGTGGTGAGACGTCTTGGTCGATGCCCGCCCGCGCACGTCATCGGCGAGCTCGGCTGCCGACTTCTTCTTGGAGTGATCATCGTCGGACGAGCGACTGGAAGACATGATGGTCTCAAGAGTGCCCATCGCGCGACTATTTCTGCGGCCGCCCAGTCGCCGTTGTCGCTCTGTTGTTGTGCTGGTCTCATCGTCGGAGGTGACGGCTTGCAGCGTCGGCCCCTGGCTTTCTGGTCCAGAACGTCCCCCTGCCATGAATGCGTGACTGGAGCCGTGCGGTCCGTAGTGCACTTCGTACTGGTTGCTTAGCGAGTATCGTGACCGGGCGCATATCTCGGCTATCCTATCTAGGTCTGCATTGATATCACTGCCGGTGGCGGTGTTGTCCTGCTCGTTCATGCTTTCGAGGAAGCTTTTGAATGAGAAAGCTTCAATCGGTGGCAACTTGGCGTCCTCTGGAGGCGGGCGATGGCCGAATTGTGGGTGGAGGCCGCGCGCGCGAGCCATGATGCTGAGCATGCCGCTGCTGGCCGAAGCGACCTTGCCAGCCAGAGGGGATGTCCTGGTTCGCGAAGCCACGGACCCGTTGACCGAGGCGGCGGTGCTGTGGCCATTGCAAACAACTATGATGCCAGCACTGCTGCTGCTGCTGCCGCCGCCGCCAGTTCCGTGGGGCAAGCGCTTCACTCTGTTGGGTGGAGGTCGGTAGTAGCTGCGAACAATGACGGGTTCCGAGTAGGTGGTATTCTCAGCGCCAGTGGATTTGGCATATCGATGGCGGCTCGGGTAGTGGCTGTTGAGTTCACGCAAGGCTTCGGTGCGATGCTCGGCGGTGCTGTCGTCGACCTGGATGGGGCGACCCTCGGCGACGGAGGGCACAAGGCTGGCCGAAGTCGACTTGGTCTGAAATGGGAGTCGGAAGGAGAGTGGCAGGGCGCCGTGGGTGTGGCTGTGATTTGTCTGCTGCGCACTTGCATCCGGGGTGGAGGAAGCGCCATGTCGCGGATACTTGGGTGAACATGGCGGTTGATCCTGACGGCGAGGGGCGGGTTGCGCCGCCGGTTTCAACGTGGGCGATGACATGAGGAGGAGGGGTTGGCGAGAGTTTTTCTAACGGGAGGTTCAAAAAGAGGCAACCGTTATTGTGGTTGGAGACCGGGTGGGCGGAAGTTGAAGTCTACATGGAGACCTTGCTTGTTTGAAAGGCGATATTGCGTTGTGGGCGAAAGCGTCGCACTTGGCCGGTGAGGACAATTTAGTGAGACGAGTCGCTCTGGCGGGGTGAAGCGAAACGGCGCAAGTGGCACTAGAATTGATATAATCGTACCTGTAGGAGGTAGGAGGTAGGAAGCAAGCGATGATGGGGTTGGGGAAAATTGGGATGAAGAGGTTGTTGAAAGTAGTGTAGGTAAGGCTTGGGGAGCGGAGTAACTAACTACCTCCTCGACATAGGTACCTAGGTTGGTAGGCAGGTGGCAGGTAGGGAAATGGCGGGGACGAGGCAACTAGGGCCAGCACAAGTGCAACGGCGATACTCGAACGAGACGTTAGAAAATATCAAGGCAAACCCGAGCTACTCCATATCATGTCGATGCGCTGTTACTTAAAATGTGGTGCGACAAGCGAGACGAAATGTATCACCTACCGTATCTACCATGTCACGGGTAGCGTCGCAGATGCGATGCTGCCCATGATGCAAATTACTTTCGCCCACTAGTTACCCCCAAATCTGCATTTCAAAGCAATTTATCCAACACTCTTCGCTCTCAAAAGGTGTGCCAGCCTCGAGCCCACGTCATCAGCCTGCCGCACATCTCGGGATACTGACTACACTCAGTGACCAAATCGGGCTGCTCTTCAAAGACGACAAATTAAGTGCATTCTCGTAGTTACCTATGACCTAGGTACTACGAGTCTCAACAGACGCAACAGCAACCAAGTCATGGCACAGCATCACAGTGTCCAAATCGCCGGTTTCCCAACACCTCCCAGGTCCTTCAAAACAGCATTCCAGATCCATGTACCACCCCCTTGCGTCGCCCGACGCAAAAAGAACAACCCACACTCCCTCCACGCTCCTTCTCCTCATGTCTGGTGCACAATGGTGCCGTAGCCCTGGCCACCGCTCTGCACATTGTCCGAGTACACGCCCGGGGCCGGCCTGGAGGGGTAGCGGCCCTCGTGCGCCTGCTCCCGGCGGTCAAAGTAAATGTACTCGAGATAAAAGGCGTGTAGGTGACCCGGGATGTATCCGAGGAGGGTCAGGCAAATGTTGATAAACAAGTCTGTGTCCCACAAGGCAACCGCCATGTTAGCAACCCAGCAACAGAAAATGGGGGTTGGCGTGGCATTGCGCCGCGGCCGCCTCGAGAAAAGACAGCCGCCTGCTTCTACTTACCCATGCCGCATCCTGCAACAGCCCAGACTCCCGCAGGAGGGACTGACATTGAGGTTAATAAGGTTAGCATCAGCTTGCCCTGCTTTTTTTCGTCCAGAAAAAAAAAGCATATAGCTCGGTGACAGCGTCAGGGCTCACATAGAATCGTAATCACGACGATGAGGAGCGCCGAGGCGACGGCCATGATGGGCGGTAGCGATTTCTGAAACACTGAGGGAGTTTCCGAGCGACTGGTTGCGAGCGCGTGTTACTAGAGGTCCAAGATGGCACGAGTGAGTTATGCGCGGAATGGTGGGCGTACTTGACAAGATCGTGAGAGAGTGTGCAAAGTGTGTGAAGTTGCGCGATGGTGGAAGGCGTAAAACGGTGAAGTAACGGCGTTTGCAAGATCGAAAGAACGTCATCAGCGCCACTTGCTGTACACCCACTCACTGTACGTAGCTGGTCTCCAATTGGTGGCTGGTGTACGCTCCACGTAATTAGTGCCTGCCTCAGCAGAAGCAGTAATAGAAGCCATATCATCCTCAGCAGAACCAGTAATAGAAGCCATATCATATCAATGCCCTCTGCTGGAGCATAAAGTCACAAACAAGGATCAACCTCTCGGGACTCCCCAAGGTACTCGTCAATGTTTCCACGGTCTGGCTTCTCCATTAGAAATGTACGATCTGACAGTCTTTGGCTGTGCCTGTGTGGCTCGTGACCTTCGATGGACTTCAAACTTGAGACCACGTCGTGAACACGCACATTATAAGTCTGGAACTCGAAGTCCATACATGGAGTGGCTGACACGTTCAGTCACCCGGAAAGGTTATATTATAGTATATGATAGAGAACAGATAGAGAACAGATAGTACTTTGCTACGGGGTGGGGAGTGTTCCTAGCAGGTAGGCAACAGGCAACTGCGAGCTACCTAATAATGACTGGTACGTGTGTGGGCTGTGGGCGGCAGGATGATGGACTGACTTGGTGAGCTGTCGTCTGCAATTCATAGGAGGCCGTGGCGTGGGGGACGTGGGCACAGTGCGGCGCAGTGTTTATGAATCAATGCCTGTTAAACCGAAGTTGCTGTTGCTGTTGCTGTTGCTGTTGCTATGCCCGCTGACTACCTAGGTAGGTACCTACCTACCTAGGTAGGCTCGTCTTGTCCTCACTTATCATCGTACGAGGTGATGGCAGAGTGCGCATGTACCTCTTTGAAATCGTGGCCCCATTGTAATGGGCTTGGAGGCAGTTGCCGTTGACAGCGTACCTAGTTTTTCAACATGATCAACATGACCTCTGTAGGACAGCTGCGGGTAGCACACCGTAGCTGATTTTGTAGATATTGAAGTAGAAAGTAAGTACCAAATTCGCACCATGGTAGAAGAAGATCAAGATCAAGATCAAGATCAATATAAAAAAAGAACCATGTACCCTGGCAATCTGGTACGCTGTCCAGCACCTTCTTGCTCCATGCCAGCCAAGTCGAGGTACGGTTGCGCTAGTTAGTCGCCAGCAAGGGAACTCGACCACTGTGCCTGACCAAAACCGCCCCAGGCACCGCCTGTCCGGCCCCTGGAGGTACCTACTACAGGTACTAAGGTACCTCTAACCTACCTCTAACCGGTACCTTATTAGAGGTACCTCCTAATCCTCCTAATAGCAGGTAATCGGTTTGGGGACCTTTTTCGGCCTCCAAAATTTCAGAGCCGGCCGTCTTTTTCCAACACCAGCCTTTTCGCTGCCTTGCAGACTCCTATCTTCTCCTGCATCCCCATCCTCTCTTTTCAGAGCCTCTTGTCACTCTCCGTCTCATTGTCCATTTCGGCAGTGCGGGTTTGTCGTCTGCACACTTCATCCGTACCTGGCTGTCATCTGGTCCCCTTCCCCTCTCTCATCCTGTGCTCACTTTTTTTTTTCTTGTCTTGTCTGCTCCCCTGGTTATACTCGTTGCCCCCACTGTCTGGCTTTGCGTCGTCTGAAGAAAGCTCTCTTCCCGCCTGCTTTTCGAACCTGCATCCTTCAACAACGCCTCCTTTCCGACCCACGGTTGCGACCTCAACCGCCTCTTCGCCTGCTTCCGCGTGCCGCCCTCTCCTCCGTGCCAGTTCTTCCATCTCAACTTGAACCATCGACCGACATTGACCCTTTTTTGCCCCCGGACTGCCTGCGCCTGATTCTCTTCGCCGCGACGGCCTCGCTCTCTTGCCTCGCCCAATCTCCACCTTTGGCTCACCAGAGACATTAGAAAAAATGTCTTCCCAGCAGAGCTCTCAGTTCAGCGTGGACCGCTACGTCGTCATCCACGTTGCTACCACTTGCGATGAGCACGGTGTCTATGTCACAAAGGATTCTGCCGAGGTCATTGAGCTTGGCTGGATCCTGCTCGATGCCAACACTCTCGAGGAGGCATGTCCCAACCAACCGCTCATCGCCCTCTACATTTGATTCGATCCTAATCCCTCTTCAATATTAGATCACGCACGAAAGTGTACTCGTCAAGCCTGTCAACACTCCCATCACGCCGCTGTGCAGTACGTATCTATTTATCTCAAACCCCTGTCCCCGAGCTCCAACGCTTTTACCCCGTCCCTCGACTCGGTCACCTCGGATCCTCACCACTTGATAGCCTGGCTAACATTGTCCCTTACCAGCGAGCCTGACTACCCTCACTTGGGAGCACGTCCGAAACGCGGGAACCTTTAGAGACGCCATCTCTCGATTCGATACTTTTGCTACCGAGTACTTGACCTCCAAGAATATTGACTTTGCATTCGTCACCCTAGATGCTTGGGATCTCCGAGTTCAGCTTCCACGTGAAGCTCGTGACAAGGCCGTTGTCCTTCCCCCCTACCTGCAGCACTCGCGAACCTTCGACCTCCGCACTGAATACCAGCGCTGGCAGCAGCACCACCCCGAGTCTCTACCCTTCGGCCCCTCGATGCTCTCCAACATCTGTGCCGCTCTCGAGGTCGAGCCCGTCCAGTCCAGCGCGCCGATCAAGCACAACCTTCCCTTCCACCTGCAGGCATTGGCCCCTGCTTCGCCTCGCCGTGCCATGGAGGAAGCTATTACCCTTGCTCGAGTCCTCCGAGGCCTCATTCGCAAGTCTCAGCCCCCTCAGGAGCACCCCGATGTCCTGACCCGCCCAATGGATGCCAGGGCTGATGTTCGTGCTTTTCTTTCCGAAAGAAGCAAAGTTCTTCACATGTCTGGCCTTCCTCATGATACCACCCAATCTGAGCTCGAGAGCTGGTTCACCCAGTTTGGCGGGCGTCCCATTGCATTCTGGACACTCCGAACCCCTGAGCAGCACAAGCCCACAGGCACCGGCTTTGCTGTCTTTTCGTCGCACGAGGAGGTATGTTGCCCCCCTGCTATTGCGACCACCCACTCTACTGTGCTCAGCTGCTAACCATTTTCAAGGCTGCGGAAAGTCTATGCATGAATGGCAGAGCTCTCAATGAAAAGGCGATCGAGGTCTCCCCGTCTTCTAGTAGAGTCCTCGACCGTGCTCAAGATATCCTAACGCCCTTCCCCCCTAGCAAGAACCGTCCTCGCCCTGGAGACTGGACATGCCCCTCGTGCGGTTTCTCCAACTTCCAGCGCCGAACGGCCTGCTTCCGGTGTTCGTTCCCTGCTGCCGGTTCTGGTCCAGGTGGCGACAACTTTAGCTATGCCGGTGGCAGCGGCAGTGGCGGCGGCGGCGGCGGCTACGGCCCCCCTCAAATGATGCCGCCTCCGCATCATGGCGGTCACGGTCACAGCCACGGCCACGGCCACGGCCACATGGGCCACGGCGGACGCATGGGTGGCGGCGGTGGTGGAGTCGTTCCTTTCCGTGCCGGTGATTGGAAGTGCGGCAATGAAGTATGCGGTTACCACAACTTTGCCAAGAATGTGTGCTGCCTTCGCTGTGGAGCTAGCCGTGCCAGCGCTGCCGTCGTGGCCGATTCAGGATACCCATCCCCCATGGACAACTCATCTCAGTATAATATGGGACAAGGCTCCATGGGAGGCACGCCCGGCCCTGGTCCTTTTAACTCAGGCAACGCCTTCAACGCTGGGGCGGCATACAACCAGCATTTTGCCGGCCCTCCCAGCCATTTCCTTCCCTCTGGCCTGGCTGGCGGTGCTGGCGGCTACCCTGGCTCCATGAATAACCAGGCCTTTGGCCCTGCTCCAGGCTCGCACGGAGCTGGCCCTTTTGACAGCCGCGCCGCTGAGGCAGCTTTCCAGTCTGCCACAAACGGTCCCGCTTCCGGTGCCGGTCCTGCCCACAACAACTTCTACAACAGTGGCCCTGTTGCCAACGAGAACGATCCATTCGCATTTCTCTCCAGCGGCATTGGCGGCCTCTCCGTCAGTGGAGCTGATGGTCGTCAGAACGGCGGTGCCGCCCCTCCCAATAAGTCGCCCGCTTGAGAACAATGACGCCAATATTGAACCACGGAGCCTAGTGATGATGGACAACTTTTCAACGATGACTGGTGCGGTGACCGTGTTGAATTGCACAAGAACAGAGTGGCATACACTTTTGTACATTTGATTCACGTGTTATGCCACTTTTGAATTGATGGACATTATAGAACTTTGGCGTTGGTTACAAAATTTACCTCGCGGACTTTGCTTCTCGATTTGAGGGAAAGCGGTCAGGTGTGTATCGGATTTACTGTTATTTAACTCTTTTTATTCTGGGAGGTCTCGGATGGAGTGTCGGACACTATTTCAGGTGGGATGTGGTTCAACATTTGTGCGTTTCTTATTTTTAATTTGCGAGAGGGCTTGGAAGACAAAAGTGACTATACCACGGCTATTCTGGGTTGATCAAGTCTGGAAAGGAGAATCTACGGACTTTGGTTTCTTTGCGTTTTTGCTAGGAAAGAAAAAGAAGAAAGGGGGATCTCCTTGCCTCGATTTTGTTTTGTACAGAAAAGGAGAAGGGGGATGAGGATGGATTCTGGTCGGTTTTCTTCTTCTTCCCAACACGGGGCAACACATATGCATTGGGCTTGGACTTTGGACTGGACCGAACCCTTCTTTTTTGTTGGGTCGAAATTCGGCCTGTTGCTGAAAAAGAGCGAGGGACCAAGGTGTGTATCATGTATGTACGTGTGTGTGTGTGTGTGTGTGTGTGTGTGTGTGTGTGTGTGTTTGAGCACTGCCACAACAACAAGGGGGGATGGCAGTAAGAACGACAACATTGTTCCTGGATGGATGCATAGCGAAAGGGTGCGTTAACGGTGTATCTTGGTCTTGCGTGGACTTGATTCATATTTTTGATTCAGTTTCTTCTGCAAGTTGTTTGGTTTCTTCTTATTAGGTCAAGGCAAAAGACATTGTCCAAATACTATTCCTTCTGTGTTTTCTTTTTGCCCCCTCCTTCTTCTCCTTTCTCTCTGTATATTGTTTTCTTTTACTCTGCAATTATGGTTATCGATGCCGTACCACGTTGCCGTCTCTCTCATCTTGTCATCCCTCCCTCTTTCATCGCCGCATTGTATCGTGGGTAGAAAACAAATAAAAGTTGCCAAATTCATCATCCAAGTCTCACCATTTCGTAGCATTTTATTCTTTTCCTCAGTATCAATATCCACCGCCTGCAACCCCCCGAATAGTGTCCTTACTAGAGTTGGCGGACTCTGCAATGTTGGCTGTCACATTACCCACCCACGCAGAGGCTCTGGTTCCATCTTGGCTAGGCGGAATCCAGCCCTCGGCTGGGCCGCCATTGTACGAGAAGGTGATGGGGGACACGGGCCGGCGTGGAGTTGTTGTCTCTTTGATTTTTACAGCTCTACCTGGTTATGGTTGTACAGACCCTCTTGTGCCTTGACCCCAGCTTCCGCTCCAGTCACTTACGCGCACTTGACCACCTTGTCGTCGTCAAACTGTATATCTATGATCCCATCCGCCTTGACAGCCTTGACAATCATGCCCTTGAAGTCGATCGGTAATCGTCGTTTGAGCTCGTCGGTGCACAGCGTCAGCAGCTTGATGCCCTGACCGAGAGTGATATCAGGATGGTGGTGCTTGTCGAGGATCGAGAGGCAGTAGTACCTGTAAGTGCATCATCGTCAGCCAAGTCACCTTTTGAAGGGGTTGTCGGGCGGGGCAGCAGTGGTAGCCGCGAGGCTGCTTGCCTGCATCCCAGATGCCAGTCCGGCGGGGGCAGCGAGAGGGGCAGACACTTACTGTGCGTAGCCATGCGCGGCGTACGGAACCTCGGCCATTGCGGCGAGGTAGTCCATCCAGTAGAGAGAGGGCTTGCCGGTGATGGGATCGACGCCGCCCATGAGGAGGTTGACGTTGTACGGCTTGCGCGATCGCAGGCTGGACGCGAGCTCGCCGCGCACGAAATGTGCCAGGCCCGAGGGCGATAGATCGGTCTCGTTGCGCATCGAGTAGAGCTGTGCGTTGCGCTGGATATATTCGGCAAATTGCACTGCGAAAAGAAAAAAGGAAAGATTAGATTAGGCCATGTCAGCGTGCCACCAAGCCTCCGCGGGCGCCGATGCATCCTCATGATATGCGCCGGCTCGAGGGCGATGCGGGTAGCTAGCTCACCTGTATCACCAGCTTCGCCGGAAAAGGCAAGCAGAGTGTTCTTGTTCAGCTCTCTTGTTTTATCGTCGGATGCCTTGAGAATCGTAGCCCCCCTCATGGCGGCCTTGGACGCCGCGATGAGGGTGAAGTCCTTGCCGGTAATGCCAAGTAGAACCTCCCTGATGGATTCGAGTCAGCGGCGATGCTCGTCGTCAGCGTGCACGAGGATTCATTCTTACATGTTGACTGTTGCGTGTGTTTGTGTTGTGGCGATGGGAGCTGAAAGGGCGAGCTTGAGTTGGGGTGCTTGATGCTGCCTGTTGCTGTCTGGGCTAAACTGAAGCTACCCACATCGACTAGGCTGCTGTAGCTATGCGCGTCAATCACCAGCGCTCGTACCAAGTTAACTAGTGGTGTTGGTCAACGCCAAAAGCGCACACCCGCTGGAAAAGAGCCGGAACCACTATAACCCGGCCCGATCAAGCTGGACTAGACGTGGGTGGGGTCCCTGTCCATTTTTGGTAGCCGCAAGTGTGTCTGGCCGACTTTTTTTTTTTCTAGTGAAGCGGCAGAAAAGTTGCTACCACTGAAGAACATTGGACAACAAGAGCTGCTCCTTTTCCCCAAAGAAATAGCAGCGACCATGTCGTCTTTTTTCACAGTGCCCGGCGCCCAAAAGAAGCGCAAACGCAATGTGTCCTCGGATACGCCCAAAAAGAGAATTACGGCGCAAAAGAGCAACGGCAAAGGCGGTGGCAGCAAGACAGCCAGCACACCAAAGAAGCGACCCGCGCGGGACGAGTCAATCTCTGGCAGCGACTCGGACGACGACGATGACGACTCTGGACGCCTGTCCGACGCGCAAGAAGATGTGGATGGCAGCGAATCGGAAGGAAGCGAGGAAGAAACCGCCGCCGAACGAAGACTGCGGCTGGCGGAGCGCTACCTGCAAAATGTCAAGCAGCATGTAGACGAAGCTGGCTTTGACGCTGCCGACATTGATCGCGACATGATTGCGGAACGACTACAGGAGGATATTGCAGAGACCAAGGGAAAGGTATACCGCCAATTGGCCGCGGAGCTGGTCCTCCGGAAGTCGTCGCAAACATTTTTCCGAACCAACACTCACGCCGTCACGTCCGTCGCCGCATGTGCCCCGTACGTCTACACGGCTACCAAAGACATGTACTTGCACAAATGGAGAACGCAGGACCTGCCCAAAGACCAGTACCCACAAACGACACGGCGCAAATCCAAAAAGGCCGCCGCGCCGCCGCGAAGAAAGCTCGAGCTCGAGTCGTGGGTCAGAGGCAACACAGCCAAGGCCGGGGAAAAAATACTACAAGAGACACACGGGACGGATCCTCGCCGTCGCGGCCTCGCCCGACGGCAAGTACGTCGTCACCGGCGGCGAAGACAAGAAGATGGTTGTCTACGAGGCGGCCACGCTCAAGCCGATCAAGGTGCTCACCCACCACCGCGACGCCGTCACGGGCCTCGCGTTCCGGCGGGGCACGAACCAGCTCTACTCGTGCTCCAAGGACCGCACGGTCAAGGTATGGAGCCTGGACGAGATGGCCTATGTGGAGACGCTGTTTGGCCACCAGGACGAGGTCGTCGACGTGGACGCGCTGGCACAGGAGCGCTGCATCAGCGTCGGCGCGCGCGACCGCACCGCGCGCCTCTGGAAGGTCATGGAGGAGACGCAGCTCGTCTTCCGGGGCGGCGCCGTCGACAAGAAGGCGCGGCCCCCTCCTGGCGTGGACCGGCGCTCGCTGCTGGCAGAGGGCAGCATGGACCGCGTCGCCATGATTGACGACGAGCTCTTCGTCACGGGCGGCGACAACGGCGCTCTCTCCCTCTGGAGCGTCACCAAGAAGAAGCCCGTGCACGTCGAGCCGCTGGCGCACGGCGTCGACCCGCCCCTCGACCCGCACGCCGCCTCGGCCGAGACGACGCCCAGCGCCGACGCCATCCCCGCGCCCACACCCCGCTGGATCACGGCGCTCGCCACGATACCGTACTCGGACGTCATCCTCAGCGGCAGCTGGGACGGACGCGTCAAGGCCTGGCGGCTGTCCGAGGACAAGCGCCGGATCGAGTTTCTGGGCTCGCTCGGCGGCGGCGGGCAAGACGCAGCGGAGGAGGAGGGGGAAGAGGAGGGTGGCAACGCCGAGGACGACGTCAATGCCGCGTACAAGCAGCAGCCGCAACGTCCCATCAAGGGCATCATCAACGGCCTCGCCGTGTTTGAGCGAGGCGACCGCGGCGTCGACGGGCTGTGCGTCGTGGCGGCCGTCAGCAGCGAGCACCGCCTTGGCCGGTGGAAGGTGCACAAGGGCGCGCGCAACGGCGGTGTCGTCTTTGAGGTGCCGCGCGTCATTCTCAGCGAGACGCGCAACGGACACGCGGACAGCAACCCGGGTGAGCAGGAGTGAGTCCTTTTTCTCCGCCCGGCGCAAGAAGATCTAGACAGTGCCGGTGGAAGGAAAAGGAAAAAAAGGAAGCAAAACGTCAGCAGCATGGGGCAGGATAAATGCACCAAAGAGGAAAACATCTTCATGTACATTTTTTGGAACAATTCTAAAAGGCAAGGCGTAGTTATTATATGGTACACAACTTCTTCTTTCTCACAACTGATCTAGAGGTGCCGTGACTTATTCTTCGAGGACTCCTCATAGCATGTAATTAGCCAACGTCCGACCTCTTGTGAGTATATGCGGCAGTAAATGCATTTCTTGTATCGCTAATGCGAGAGATTGATTATGCCAGAGTCTAGGTACGAACTGTATATGAATTGACGCCAACAGTCGCTATGAGAGAGCCAGTGGGAGGGAGAGCAACTAGAATGCAAAATAAGCATAGGAATAAAACAGTAATAGACCGTGAGGAAGCACAACAGGCTGTCAATGACATGAAAAGTGGACATGAAGAAACTTGATGAGCTTCCAACGCTTCGCAATACAAAACACCCAATCTCAGTGCCCACCCAAACCTGGTCAAACAATGAATAGTCGGGCTATCCTGGGTCCTCCGCGGGATGATAATAAAACAAAGAGGGGTTTCGAGTGTAAAGACGGTATAAATACGAATATTGATGTAAGCCGTCGTCAACCATGCGCACCATGGGCCGTCGTCATTGCGATGGCAGTATAACATCAACCTAGGGCCGCTTACCGGCGCGCCGTCGCGGTTACGAAAGGACGGCAAGTCGGGCCGCAGCGTTGTTCCTTGTTGCGAGCTCGCGCGCCTCCCGGAGAGCGCTACTTCTTTTGCTACTGCGCAAAAGGACCGGGCTGTGATGCGTCGGGCGGCATCCTGACAATGTCGACAACGCCGTCGTCAGCAAGCGTCTCCTCCCGCGCAACCCCCCGGCTGCGCATCGCCGCCATGGGTGGCGTTACGCTCCTCCTGCGCGTAAAGGGCGACGAGGGAGCAGGCTCCAGTTGCGGCGTAGGGTGCCGCCGAGGCTTATCGCACTGGTGTACGCCGCCGGCTCGGGGAGAGGCTGCGCCTGCCGCGTCGCTTGTAGAGGCCGTGCCCACAGCCAGTTTTTGCGTCGCATTGGCCTTACGCTGCTGCGGGACACGCTTGGCCTTACGCTGCTGCGCAATGTGCTCGGCCTGCTCCTTTTGCAGCGTGAACAAAAGGTCGCGCACGGTGTTGCGTAGGGACGCCGGGTCAATGGACCAGTCAATATCCTTGCCGCTCAAAATCTTGTGCATCAGCTCGTCCGGGTCCTTGAGAAACGCCTTCATGTAGCCTAGAACAAAGACACCGCAGTCGCAATAGTTATTTTGCATCGGGACTCCGGGGGCTTTCATGCCACCCGGTACGGTCTCCAGATCAATATTCTTCTTGTCTTTGGCTTCTGCGAGGAGATACTCCTTAAGCACCTTACATGTGGCAGAGTGGGCATTGCCCATGGAGTCCAGTGTAACAATACGTGGCCGAGAGCTGTCTTGACGCTGGGATCCTCGGGGCCTCCGCGCAACTGTCGTGGGAGAAGTAGCTGTTAGGACTGTCTTCGCGGGGGACGATGCTGAACCAGACAAGAGCTGCCTGGGGGAGCGTCGCGTTGCACTGTCTTCCAGTGATATGTCAGAGATTTCTTGCTCTACTGTCGCCATGATTTGAAGCTCTGGTTTCAGTAGACCCTCAACGTCTGTCGAGGTATTAATAGGCAATGTGTCGTCCTTTCCTTGCTTTATCAATTTTGGAATGTTGTACAAAATTGAAATGTACCAATGAGCATGCTCATTAACCGGCACAAGAATGTAGTCATAAGAGAACAAATCCAGTTTCGAAGTCCAGCCCTTGACGCCGTCGTAGTTGATCCCCCCTTTACATGACGTCAATTTCTCGAAGAAGAAGGTGCTGAAGATGTGTATTCGGCCAAAGAGGTCTGGTCGGTCCCGCTCCATTTCAGTTTGGAGATATCGCAAGTAAAAGTTGATCAAGTTGTCGTTGAGAAATTGGCCCTCATCAAGCCTAGGGATGTCTTCCTTGTCCACTGATGCTCGGTTGCGCCCGGTGGCGGGGTACACGAGCGTTCGTTCCCAATTTTGCTTCCAGCCAGTATTCTCCTCGGACCAGCGTACGGAAGCTCGGCGAGTTTCCTCGCAAGTTGGCCATGTTCTTCGAGTCCGCCTCGTTTGCATACCAGTTCGCTGCACTGGTGACGCAGAGCGCTCTTGTTCCGTCAAACGGCCTGGAAGAGACATCGTAGTGTCTTCTCTTGAATTGAGCTTCTTTTGAGGGTCGTCATGGCGCTCTTGTTTCGTCAAACGGCCTGGAAGCGACATAGTTTTGTCTTCTCTTGATGTGGGTTTCTGTTGAGGGTCGTCATGGCGCTCTTGTTTCGTCAAACGGCCTGGAAGCGAC